GCGCTTGTCTCCACTCTGGACGGAGAGGAAGCGAGCGTGTGCATCAATATTAGACCATTATAGTATACCAAGCTTAGAGGGATAGCGGGCTTACTATGATAGCGGGATCGACGTGCGCATGCGTACGTTACCTGAACCGCCTACCGTACGCACGCTTCTTTTTTAAATTTAACGTTAACGTGTTAGCGTGCGTGCACGCAAGCATGGAGGCGCTTTCGGACGCCCGCTTCGAAGTGATTTTAGCGTCGTTGTTGAAAGATTCGCTTTTATCACACCAAACAAATGTTTACTATGGCTTAGCTTGCCTTCAGTTAGCTTCGATGACCGAGTTAGAGTGTACTAGAAGTGCTGAGTGGCGTGACTGCGCCTCGCCGCCTGATGCCTTCCGTGTTGCCCGTAGCGGCGGCGCTGCAGTCGAATAGTACTGAGAGAGCCGCGCGCAGAAACTGCGATGCGGTCCGGCTTCTCCGGTGCGCTTTTTTGATGCAGATTTCTTCGTACCTGCCCATCATTCATGTCTAGTACATGATGTCATAACCCTTGAAGTATGACACTCCAATCTACTGAATTTGAGCTCCATAAAAGTCCTTGTGAGAGGTCGAAAATTATTTAGGAAAGGCATGTCTTATTCTGATTTTTTCTCTCAACTTTTTCTTCGTTGAGCAGGCGTCTACAATATTAAGAATAACTGAGTCGATTTATTGGAAATTAGCTGCGCTCACAAAGCTGTGGGATGAAAAAAAGAATACCGTGTAAAACGCACGCAGAGCCAGGAGGCCGTAAGTAGAGGGTCGAGGAATGAAGCCTGAGCCCCCTACACCACGAAATGTTTTCCTAATTTAACTTTTCAGGGTATACTAAAATATTTACACGTATATACAGCGACCACCGATTGCGAAAGCTAGTCGTTCTGCTGCACCCCCCCCCCCTCAAAAAAAAAAAAAAATCCTGGGTAGCCCTGCGCCACACGTTTACAGTTGGGAAGCTGAATACAGCGTGCCTCTGTACTCAAAACTAGTTCAAGTGTAACGTATTTGGGCAAAAAATGCATGGCGTAAAAGAGCGGCTTTTCAAAGGGACATTGCATGGATATTGTTAAGGCGGTGCTGACGTGTGACTTAATTGCATGTACTTTATATATATATATATATATATATATATATATATATATATATATATATATATATATATATATATATATATATATATATATATATATATATATATAATGAGGTCTAACAGGCAGTAATGCCAAGGAATGTATAGGGGAAGTTTTACGAATGTAATCTAAATAAGAAGAAAGAAAAGTGCGTGAAAAAATAACCTGCCATGAGCAGGTTCTGCTCACGGCAGGTTATTTTTCACAAACACAAAGTTAAAACCACGCACATAATTTGTAATAGTCTAAACAGTGACTGTGTTACTAGTAATATATACACGCCATTTCCAAAATCATCCCCCAGCTACCCGACGTAGCAACGGAAAGGCGATAGGAAACTTCAACAAAGCTGTCAATATTCCCGCTGCATACACGAGAGGCATTCTCCGGCTGCCACTTGTCGCTCTTCATTCTCACTGTCAATAAAAGTTGACTTTGTAGGATAGCTTGGAAAGAAAACACCCTCCATAAATTTCTAAAACGGTTCTTGCACTGTGTGACATGCAGAATGCCATCGCAGAGACACACAACCGTGTTTCCTCCCAAACGGTAGTAGATATTGTTTAAATCTTAAAGGTTGTGAGGTTTAAAGCGACCGCCGCAGGGAACGCTCGCAGCCGAGCGGAGGAGGAGGTCAGAATACAGGAGGTCACGCTAGAGATAACAGATAAATACAAATATCTGGGCGTACGGATAAGCGATGGGGTCGAGTACCTAAGGGAACACGAAATATACGTGACGACTAAAGGTAACAGGAATGCAGCGGTAGTAAAAAACTGGGCACTTTAGAATTAAAATAGGTATGATGTTGTGAGAGGAACATGGAAAGGGGTCATGGTTCGTGGTCTGACGTTCGGCAATGCGGTCTTGTGCATGAGATCAGAAGTTCAAGCAAGATTAGAAATTAAGCAACGTGGAATAGGTAGGCTTGCCTTAGGAGCTCACGGGAATACACCAAATCAGCGAGTACAAGGTGATATGGGATAGACATCATTTGAGGGCAGGGAAGTTAGCAGCAGTATAAAATTTGAGAAGCGATTGAGAGAAATGGGAGAGGAGCGTTGGGCTAGGAAGGTATTCAGCTACTTGTACATGAAGAATGTTGATACAAAATGGAGGAAGCGAACCAGAAAATTGACTGGTAAATACCTAGAAAACAGCAGGGGCCAAACCAAAAAGAATTATCAGTTTAGAAGAAGATGAAGGAAGCTGAGACGGATATGTGGAGAATCGGAATGATTAAGAAGTCCGCACTAGAGATCTATCGAACTTTTAAGCAGGGAATTGGCAAGGAAAGGATCTATGATAATACTCGGGGCAGTTCTCTACTAGCTGTTTGAGGCCAGAACGGAAGTATTGCGAACCAAGAGATATCGGGCCAAATACAAAGGGGTTGACACGGTATGAAGTGCGTGTGGAAAGAAAGAAGAAACTGCCGAACAATTGATAATGTTCTGTAAAGGGCTTCACCTTATAGTTTAGGATGATGGCACAGTTTTTCAAATCACTGGGGTTTAGGGACAGGGAGGGCTGAATAGACATTAAGCGGGTAGAATCAACTAGAAGGAGGTTATCTGATTGGTGGCTAAAGTCAAGGCACGAGTGAAAACTAAACGCTTCGCTGCAAAGTACGAATCCTCAACATCACTTTCTAAAAGTAAAAAAACAAATCTAGTTTTTGGTTCATTAAGTATTACGGCTTAGTGACGCTAGCCACCGCCCGATATAAAGGGGACAGGTAGCAATATATCCATCTACTATTACGGCGTTTTTTTTATTTATGGCCCCTAGGGGAGCGTCAGTCGAGAGTTATTTAAGATCTGCAACTATACACGAAAATTTCAAAGGCCATGCAAAATGTAGGTTTGTTGCACCGTCCGCCACAAGTGACGCTAAAAACCGACAGTAATCAGAAATGAAAGAGGGAAAGCGTGTGGCAGCTGTTTTTGTTCTCACGCGGCAGGCATCTACATAGACGAGGTATTTTAAAAACAAAAATATATTACACGATACAACTATTTCATTCATACGGCAGCAAAAAAAAATAGCAAAAGTATCATTTACGCTGCCAGTTACTAAGTGCCCTATTTTGCTTATCAGCGAACTGTTAGACAAAACATTTTATAAAAATGTAATTCCATAAGCGCTAAAAATTCCCACAGGAACGACTGATCTGGGCTATTTTTCGGCTACTTTATATTTATTCATTTGGCTACGTTTGGGCTCCTGCCAAGTCCCATTTGGCTGTTCGAGGTTTGCACCATCTAGTAACCCTGGGCGCGAGCAATGGCGAAAGGCTATGGCGCGCGCAATTCCTACCGCTTTCATGGCATAAACAGCATTTGTACAGCGATACTTCAGACGTCAAGAACTCCGAAAGGTCTAAGAGCGGATACAGAGGCAAGTTCATAGTCTTCTAACTTGCGGTACAGTGTTTACGATGCGCCAAAACGGGATACCTGCAGGTGTTTTGTAGGCCCGTTCGTGTCGGTGCCACGTTAGAGAAGGTGTCGCAGCCAGACTCGCGATATCGTTGCTCTCCGCAGGGCCCAGGCACCTCTTCGATTATTGTCAAGTAGTAGGTGTTATATATGTGCTGTGATAAGAAGTTTATCTGGATGAATAATCATTGTGCAGCCATTTTTGCGGTAAAAAAAATGTTTCGTGCGCTTGACGGTGGTAGCTGGCTAGGCCACACTCTGGCTGAAGACAGCGGTCTTCCCCTGCACTCAAGCGATGATTGTTGCGAATGACGAATGTGGCAGCTTTTACGCTGCTCTTACGCGAAGCAAGCACTGGATTTCCGTGTTCACCGAAGAAATGAAAACGCAATGCGGTAATAGAGTTGTTTGTTGTGTTCTTGGTATTTCGGTAATTCAGCATTCGTTAATTCGGATAATTTCGCTGGTAACGTGACAGTCAAAATAACAAGCGTTTACTTTAATGTTCTTCGTGACTGCCGCTGAAAAACCTACGCAGAAGAAACCTAATATCACTTTTTGCCAATTTAGGAAAGTTGGGAGAGGGGACTGTTTCTGTCAGATAGTGAATAAAGTTGCACAAGTCTCAAACTGCTGAGTATTTCAGGACACAATCCTAGAACAGACGTGCGGATCTTAGACATTCAAAATTTTTAGCTCTGTGATGCATTTGTGTTACTTTTTGACTGAATTAATTTATATACTACCATGTCACTACTCTATGCAAGTTGTGTTCTGTTGCCTTTATAGAAAACACGTTGGAAGAAACAATTGCTTAGATTAGCTTCCCGACACGGTCAAGAAAATAAAAGACACGTGCTTTTGAATGACGTGTCTTCAAATTACACTTGGCTAGGTGTCAAAGGGAAGTTGAACTTCAGAAGACAGCAGCTGCCAAATTCTGCTTGGCATGATTCTTTCTGCATTACTTTATTTCTTAAAGCAAATCTCAATCACAATTGCTGCTGGCATACTTGGACAGGATATCGAACTGCTCAACACCTGAATGTAGAGATCTGAATAAAGTGGCCTGTGTGAGCTGTAATTAAGCATACAAACAAGGCTGGTTTTCAACTCAGTAGTTTTGACATTCTGGTTTCAGAGAAAGCTCCGAATGTTTGTAAGTTAGACAGTTTGGTTGTTCAGACAAATGTTCATTGTTCTTCTGTTCTTATTGCACTTGTTAACATCGACAGAAAGCACAGTGGAAAATTTCAAGCAAAATATGATGCATCACACACATTATTTGCAGATCATGTATTGGCTGTCAATAGTTGACTAACAAAAATAATTCCACTGTCCACCATTCTTTTGTCTGTGCATACAAATGATACATACAAACTATAAAGCTGAGGATTACACAGAACTACTTCATTTTTCCAACTTTTGATCCTGGGGCCAACCTTTCTCAGGGATAAAACTTTTTTTGTTGGCAGAGAAAATGCTCCTTCATCAGTGGAAAGTTTTTGTTTTTTTTCCCTGACGAACGCCAGTCCGAAAAGGTGGAAAAGTAAGCTCTTGACCTCGTGTATGTATGTGTATGAGTGTGTGTGTGTGTGTGTGTGTGTATATATATATATATATATATATATATATATTCCCAACAATATACTTGCTTCATGAGTGGTGCAAATCAATCTGTATCTGACCTTTGCAATTGCCTATGCCATTGTTAAATTGTTAAATGTTTCTGTTTATTTCAATTGGTTTGTTATTATAATTGAACAAAACCATATCCACAGTTTTAGAGATTTATAATATTGGTAATGTGTTTTTATGATGACTGCCTTTCAGTGAGCAAAGTGTGCTTTATGTGGCCAAATAGGTGTACTACCACTAACAAAGAAGAATCATCTTTGTATTTTTTGTCAGTGCAAATATTATTTTGTGCCATTCTTATCTGGCTTCTTAAATATAGTGCAGAAATTGCTGCAGCCAGCCCTAACTGTGCTAGAGCCGCACTACCTACTGTTAACCTTTTGTCAAAGAACATATTTTTGCACACTATATTCTGGAGTTTTACTTCCAAAACTATAATGATTTGTGTGCCATAGTGTAGCGCTTTACATTAACTTTTACCCCCTGGGGTTGTACGATATGCTTTAAAATGAAAGAACATGGGAGCAATGGTACTATGCCTGTTCGCTGTGATGGTGTAGCGGTTACAGCGCTTGGTTGCTAACCTGAAGGTCGTGGGTGTGATCGTCGTGCTGGCAGTCTCATTCGGATGGAGGTAAAATGCTAAAGGCCCGCGTGCGATGTGTGTGCACGTTAAACATTACCAAATGGTGAAAATTGCCAGAGCTCTCCACTATGGCATACCTCATAATCATATGACGGTATATGAATACTATTATTGTGGTTGTTGTTATGCCTCCATCAAAATGTGGCTCCATCAGCTCTGACTTAAACACGCTATTTCATGCTCGTTGCCAGAACATTTTAGCTGTCTGAGCCAGTGCACCATGTGGGAATATGTTGTTGGGTAGAAAATTTCGCCTTCTAATGTGTAAAAGTGCAGTAAGCTTGCATTTTTCTCCTAAGTCAGTTTCAATAATTCTACAGCGAAAGCTGTTATGAGATTACAACTCGGGTCACGTGCAGCTCCGTAGTTGCACGCCGTCGCCGCCGGTGTCCATAACCACATCACACGAAAATAGAAAAAAAAACCTAGTACCAACGACACAGTGGGGCTCGAACCCGGGTCCTGGGTGCCAGCCCAGTATTCTACCACTGAGCCACGCCTGTGCTTGAGACTTGTTCGCAAACTTACCTTAGGCAGGCTTGATGTCTGGATAGCAATCGCAGTTAAAATGACTTGAAAAGTGTTTTAAAATAGCGAAAGAACAACCACTCATTGCACAATGCAAACAGCATAACGAGTTGGTCGTCCAATGCTCCAACCCATTACAAAACCTTGTTCTTGTTCAGCTATTAACTGTGGCGCATACCCACTTCAGTCAATTCCTCGTCGTCAGCCACTGCATGAACAATTGGCACAAAATTCCTTGCACGTGTTTAGCGGATACCACGCTTCTGAGAAGAATGACGAAAAATAGCACAGCGAATGCTGGTCTACTGCCCAAACAAATTTATTAATAATGGCCTAGTGGGTATCAAGCAAGTGTGCTTGCAGTAGTTACCCAATGAGTGTTTCCAAAAGGCTCCGAAAGGCAGCTCTTACAGCTTTCGCTGCGACTGTGCTGCTCCTTCCGCACAGGCCTGGTGTTTCTTGCTTTCTCACGGCTTTCCTGTGAATGGCATGCATGCAGCTGGAAAATAGCATTTTATAGAGGCGTTTCCTTTCTTTGCATTTACTTAAAAGCAACCTCCTAATTCAACAGGTCACCTCCAAAGCAACACGGAGACGTCAGAGCATCAGCTGAAGACATGGATTGGCACGACCCTACTGGATACGACACTCCCTAGGGGCGTGTCATGTACTGTTTTGTTATATTACAGCTTAATTTTTTCTCTTTTGTAGTTTATGCCGTACTTATAAATATTTCTTCAATATTCAATTCTAGTTTATATGTAAACTTGCTATGTATGTATGCAGCATCTAGTCGCAGTACGCACTGTACATGTTTTGTGCTTTGTTTTTAAATAAAAAGTGTGTATGCAATACACTTGGCTTCAGTGTTTCTCTAGTACAAGCGGTCGTTTGGCATTATGTTACCATCTGTCAAATTTCATTGAATGAAAGTGTTGTGATTTCAGAAGTTCAAATCAGGCATACATTTTTCTATGCTTTCTGGTGCTAATTTGATTAGTTGTTTTAAAAATGCACTTTAGTAAAAAGTTTTGTGTGTGCTTTAGTCTAATTTCAGTAACATCAATACATGTCTAAAACTAATTAAATTAGCATCTAAAAGCAAAGAAAAACTTATTCGTGATTTGAACTTCTGAAATTGCAACTTAAAAGAGTAAAAGAGAAAAAAAAAAGACTATAGAACACTTCTTTTACAAAACACACTGAATAAATGACATCCTTTAATCTCCCTGTCATGTACACAGTGTGTCCTTCGGGACTTGTTTGGGACTTGCAAGGGATAACCCTGGGTTCTGGAAAGTGCAGCCAAATCAACTTGCAAGAGATGTCCGACGCTGTTTCGGAAATGCAGTGAATATCTGATATCCAGCCAGGGGTGTCCTGTGGACGTACGTCCCTAGCATGTCATTGTTGTCACTGGGTTCACAGTCAATCTCTTCAGGAAGCGCACTATTCTTTCACTTCACACTGTGTCGTTTTGACGCGGCCAGTAATTGTACGCCATGGCAACTTTTGGCATTGTATATAGAAACCGTGTTTCAGTATGTGCTAATGACAGAAAGAAGCGTGTTGGCTCGGCGTGCACAGTTTACAAACCACGAGGAGAAAAAACAAAATGAAGAGAAACGCATGTTCATCTCGCAGGCGAGATTTTTGGGTGTTGCAAATGAGGCGGTATTGTTTCTTTTTATTCGCACTTGTCACTATTTGTTTAGTCGGGCCCTTTTATAACGAGATCTGAAACATGAATTTCGATTTGTTTCGATGTGTGCATGTACAGGAAATTTGTCATGCCAACGAAATGGGGTAAAATGAAACCGTAAAAAAGCGGTGCAACATAGGTACATACATCGCACGAAAAATATTCTATCGTAAATGTATACTAAAACCGTTTATCGCTTGTTATTCATAACATTAGTAATACTATGACATAAATGTTGCTTTGTTGCAGAGGATGTTCACCATTACGTGCTCAGCGTAGCTGTGTCGCAACAATTCCATATGTGTGCTTCGCATTTTCAACGCCTCGTGATAATAAAGGCGTACCTATATATAGGTAGACTCGTGCGAAGAGAAATTGTCCATCTATACGGAAAACCTCCATGCTCTCCTGCTTACCGTTTCCTTAAGTTGTGTTATATCTTCATTGCCCTTTGCATATCCTGCAGCTTCGTTCTTACATAGCGTGGCAGAGTGCATGCCCTTCATGCCGACCTCACCAGCTCTGCAGCCCCCTTTCGAAAGCCTCTTTTTACTTTGCACTGCCCTTTCCCTTCTGAGCCCACAGAGACCCGGTGCGGTGGCGCGCCGAAAAACAGCACCTAGCGGAGCATCGCGACACAACTCAGCCGTACACGCCCAGACAACTGGCTGCAGTATATCCCAGTGAGAGCATGCTCGTGCGCCGCTGCACTGGTAATGCTGCACTGTGGTTTAGAAAAGTAACTTTGTCCAAAGGCTACTGTCACCTAAAAAGCACTAAATATGAAGAGAAGTTCTGCAAAGTGGACTGCAGGGCTTCCAGGAATTTATGTTTTGCTAGAGAAGTATAAAATAACTTCGATTTTCAGTCATCGTTTGGTTCGCCTATTGCACAGTTTCACTTTTTCCCGTTGCCTGTGTGAACTTCAAATAAAGATCTCTGTTCAACAGTGATAATTGCTGAGCTTTCATGTCCCAAACATGACAAGATTTTGAGGCACGCTAGTTGTGTAGGTATCAGGATTAATTGCGGACTACTTGGGTTTCTTAAATGCGCACATATATTATGATTCACCGGTGTTCTTTGTATTTCACTTCATCGAAGTGCAGCCACCGAGGTCAGGAAGTATCTCCTGCACCCTTAAGCATAGCAGCGCAACACCACATGTGCTATACTGCCACGGTAGTTTGCTTGATCAACATCCTCATGCATACAGACCACATGCGATGCCAAAAAAAAAAAAATTGTTGCAGCTACCACTTTATGGTTTTTTTTTGTTTTGTTTTACTACAAATGTGGGCAGCGTGGTATTGTCGCAGCACATACTTATCAATGGGGGCATGTCAGCCTGCAGTAGCTTAGCGCGAAACCCAGCACGCAACCAGAAAATGAATTGAGTTCGTTGCGCAACAAGGTTCCGAGGAGACCAGGCAAAAAAGCTGCACTGAGCAGCTTGAGGGGAACCTGGCCCCTTTACACACTGAGCGGTTACAGAAGCTCAAAGCTTGCCCTATGCCCAAAGCTTGCCCTATACCCAACGCATGACCAGAACAGCAAAAGCGGTAAATAAACTCTGTAAGAAATAATGAACAAGGCTATTGCATAAACACGTGATGGGGACAACAGGAGTCCCCATCCCGGCACAGCATTGTCCCTTCGATGCGATATGCATAGACACAGCCCCCTTTGCAGGGCTTCTCTTCGTTCTTTGGTGCTGTTTATGTGAGAGTAACCTTTGGACAAAGTTGTTCTTTTCTAAATCGCAGTGCAGCATTGCCCGCGCAATGGCTTTTCGAACTGTTCATTCCACAATGAAGCACAGCAGCAGCGTACGCATGTGCTCTCGCAGCTGTACACTGCGGCCGGTCGTTTGGGCGCGAGCGGCTGAGTTGCAGCGCAACTTTCTGCCAGGTGCATTTTTTTGGTGCGCCACCTATGCAGCGCTGGTCTCCTATATCACCAGCAAGACACATGGAGGGTAGTAAGATGGTAGCGACCACCTTTGTATACCCTCCTAAGCATCGAGCCAAGGCCACTTCGATAATTTATCGAAACCCTCGTCTTCCTCCTTAATTTTCTATGTATCATTTTTCTTCTTCTGTTGTCCTGAAACAGTGGCAAATCAGTTGCTGGTCGCGAAGACGAGAGCAACAGTGGGCAATTTTCATTCCTCGTCAGACCGCTGCATTACACCGCTGACTCGTGCAACAACAAATGGCACAGGCTAGATTTATTTGGCTTCCTGAACTGGCGTCCACACGCTGTCGTGGGATCGGCGCATTATGTGCCACTTTTTAACCTTGGTCATTTGTATTGGTAATAGCGCTATGGTGCAGTTCGTAGTCATTATTTTGACTACGAACTGGTGTTTGTCATTGGTGATGCTAAATAAGCTCGTACAACAACGAAGTGCTTTGTCGTCTTTAGCAATCTCTCGTGTCCTTTGTGGACGCCGGTTCGTGAATCACGGAGAGAGTCATAATCGCGTATAACCAATGGAAGGCCGTGCCACGGCTGAAACATTAGGCGTAAAAGCATTGCTCTCTCATGTGTGTACCCGCTTGTATTCTTGAAGGTTTTCAACAATATTTATCATTTTTCCTCGGTAAAACTACCCCTCGTCCTTGATCCAAATTTCGGGGAAAGGGTGGGAGGGCCTAGTGCCTTTTTCTCCCCCGGCTAGGGGCCTAATGTAGAGAAGGAAGGAAGCACATCTACGTATGTGGACTCCACAGATTGAGCAGGTATCTAAAACTCGCTTCAGAAGGTGAACCGCAATCCCGAAATGTATAGTCCCGCCAGTGCCGGGACAGCAAAGATAGTGGCCACGAATGTGGGTAATGGAGAGAGCTGGAACAAAATGTCACCCAATGCTGCCATGTGAAGGAACCCCTTTCTAATAGTATGTTATACATGGGAAAATTTCTGAAGGGGATTTGACTTTTTTTACTTCTCCTTAGAGTGCGGTATAACAAGTACATAGACTGCACCTAGCGATCAACATATTCTTCAATTGGTCGTGCTTCACTTCTTACAGACATAAAATGTTCGCAAACGAACCTAGATACAGCATATCTTGTAACCATCGAAATTCGCGGTGTCTAAATAGTTTGAAAGGTTTATATTCTAAAGGAACTTGTATATAGTAACTTAGCACACAATCACAAGACATGTGTGTAGTGTTTTGACTCGGTTTCTGTCTTGTCTCGGCCACTTGCAGCGAAGTGGGAGCTCCTGCAATGAGACGCTGAAGCTGAACAGCAGCAACGTGCAGAGCTTCTGCAACGAGACGCTCAAGCTGCACAGCACCTCTCCCCTCTGGCATGCCGCCAGCACCATGTTCGAGCACCTGACGCTGACGTCGGGGCTGCCGCCACGCCACAGCACAGCGTGGCTTTCCTTCGGCTCCGATACAAGGCGCCTCAAGAAGGTAGGAATACAAACTGTTATATGTATACAGTCGAACCTCGCTATAACAAACTTGCATCTTACACAATATTGTTATATCCTAAAATTTGTTATAAAGACATTCCTAACACTATTGTAGAGCTATTCTTCATTTACTTCGTTATAACTGACATTTTGTTATATCCAGGTTCGTTATATCAAGGTTTGAGTGTACATAGTATACCCCTCCCTGTGCATACACTCTTGCAGTTGAAAACCACAGCCTTGCATGAATGCCGCTTCGTATATAAGGTCTATTCGATTCACCTGCACCAATCGGAACCGGTTCACGACTGTGCACTCGAAGTTCAGAAATTGTGCAGCTCAGGATGTCATGACTGGGGATTGGCAGTGCAAGAGACGCCCATCAGCTGAGCTCTCAAGCGGTGCTCATCAATGAGAACGCTGTCTGAGTCCCACAAGAGTGCGGGAACACTCCCAAGTGCACTGCGAGAAACGCGCATTGGTGTGCCAGTGACACGCAGTCTGCGTCGCACACGAACGCAGCGACACGCAGTCAGCATTTCAGGAGAAGCGCGTGCACGGACAAAGGGGGATAAAAAGCGCGTCGAATATGCACAGGGTTGCTCTCTCTCTGTGGCTTTTGTTACGGCCGGTCGTGTCTGATGTAAAGGCGCTTCTCGACACCTAGTGTTCTTGACACCCGTAAATATGTAAATAAATTTGTGTGTTCTTCGTGCGAGCAGGAAGCCTCCGAAGAGTTCCTCCTGTCCCGGCGCCAGGGTGTCCGCCTGGGCCCAACTGCTCGGTTACTTCAAGGGGTGCAAGGCACAGTGCGACACCCGAAACGAATGAATATGTACCGACCAGGTGCATGCCTTATTTCTGTTCGCTTAGCTTACACCGTTCAGCTAACACTGACCAATGGCAAACCCCACATGCGTACAGTTCATGGGCACAAACATCTTGGCAAAACACTTTGCGTTAGTGGAGGCAGGTACGGCGCCTACGCTAAGTGCTACGTCGTCTGCTCAGCTGCACGCACTGCACGCATGGCTGCACAGCCGGCACCGTCGGCGTAGGAGGTGCAAGAAAATCGTGAACTAGCACTGCACCTTTCGAAACAAATGGCAGGGTTCAGAGGTCGTCAATGCTGCACCGCTGAAACAAATGGCAAGGTGCTGCACCTCGTGAACTGGTTCATGTGGTGCAGGTGGATCGAACGGATCTATAGTTCCAGAGGTGAATGGGAACCATGCACTAATAGAACTGTTAATTTATGGATACATTTGAAAGAAAGGTTTTGTCGGATCTTGGAATCAAGCAAAAAATCTCGCTTCATGAACTCTAATGTTTCAGCCTTGGTCTTAGTCAAAACGTCAATAGTTTGTTAGTGAAGTACGGTTGTATGTTAATCCCTCATTCATATGTGCTACAAAAATCTTGAACTGCATGACCGAAGATGTGCTGTTTGAAATTCCTGAGGAGAGCGGTATGGTAATGTTCAGTTTATCAAAAGTAGTGTAGATATAATGCAAAACCTCAAGAATTGACACCGTGCCGAGTGACCCTGTTTATGCACTCCAAAAGAAGCACCATGCCTGTTCTCCAGTCTGTTGCATTGTTCTAACACTTATGTCCTACCAACGTGCCCGAGTTTACACCCTTCATCGGTCACCTGAAAGATCTTCGCATTTGAAGAAACATAACAAAACAGTGAAACACAAATTTGTGTTGGGCTAAGATGGCACCATTCTCTGGTGCCAAAGTTTCCATAGCCCGAGTTGAAGCTTTGCGTGGTACCAATAATTAACGCTGCTCTTCACAAACGTAACAGCCGTGTATTCCGAGGGCAACATTCACATGCGATTCCACTCGCCTGCCTTCTTTAACTTTATGTGCCCCTTTCACTGTGATCACTCCTCTCTATCTTCCACTCGTCATCAAGTGGCCTGCACCTACGAATACAAGAATTTCCCGCTAGGGTTCTGACATAACCACGCGTTTCTTTCTACACGTCTTTCGAAATGTTTCACTTATGCGTACGAACTGTTATCAATTCGACGTAGTTTTGCTTGAACAATTAGACATGACTTTCGCACATCCACCAGATCTACTTTATTACTATATATGAGAGAAGAATTACTGCTTAATTCTGACTGGTTCTCTGCCTGTTTTTAGCACGCGTTTTGTCTTCACTCCATGTAATATTATAATAGAGCCCTCATTCTGTTGTACACCGCCATAGCTTGTTTTGCTTTCTTTCATGACCTGTTCCGAATGCTGTTTTGACGGTGGCCTATGCATCACTCCTGCAGGTCAGCAAAGTCCATGTGGACCGCTGCCAGCAGTACAACACGTGCGACAGATGCCTCCAGGCCAGGAGCTACTGGTGTTTCGCTCGAAAAAAGGTAAGTCCATCACCACAGAAATAAAAATTGAGGCATAACCTTCAAGGACAGGAAGGGAGCAGAATGGGTCGGGAAACAATCGAGAAAAAATGGGCATGGGCAAGGAACATCTCGTTAAGGCGAGGATAATCACAATAGTTGCGGTTTGTGCATATTGGTGCACGAACTAGATCAATCATTTCTATAGCGCACAAACATACGATAACCAAAAAACAAGCATGACACACAGGCGCTGTGTGCTATGCGTGTTTCTTAGTCCTCGTCTGTTTGTACAATTAGAATTTATTAAGAAAGTTAACCACGGTCATTATGAGTAACAGGCTGAATTCCAAGAGGAGGCAAGCACGTGAGAAAGATACAGGAAGGTTAGGTAGTCAACTGAAATTTAGAAGTTAACGAAAAATCAGGGTCGCAGCAAGTACAGAACCGGGTTAATTGGCAAAACAAATAGGGGAGCCCTTTATTTTGCACTCGGCATAGTCAGGACAATGACGGTCACCACACACTGCAAGTTTCTTTCGCGCTCCATGATGCAATGGGTTTACACTTAAGTATGGCTACTGTTACGGGCCGGGGTCTACCCGACCCATCCCCGCAGATGGGAGTTGCCTAGACGCCAGGGTCACATCGGACCCGGACTCATGTGGTAGCGTGGAGCAACTCCGGGTGGAAGAAACGATGCTGACAAGTTGGGGAAATGAAAAACAAACAGGTTTAATAGCACTATTTACAATTATTTTACAGTATAAGAGGTTTGAGTTTCGTAAGAGGTAAGAACCAGAGGTAAGAAGTAAGAACCATTGAACCATGCTTCAGAGCAACTCCTGAACTTTGTAGCGTCGTTTGTAGAATATGTCGGCCCATTGAGAGACTACTCACTCAAACTCACCCACAATTTTTTCAGCCTTCGCACTCGCGTCTCGTCACACTCACAGGCCCTCACTCACATTTGTACTCACACTCGTGAGTACTTACTCACGTTCATACTCACACTCACAGGTACGGCTACCTGTGAGTGTGAGTAGGCGCGAGTATTAATGTGCATGTGAACTCATGTTCACACTCACCTTCATACTCATGCCTTCCAACTCATACGCACTCACTCACTTTTGTACTCACACCTACTCATCATCATCATCAGCAGCAGCAGCAGCAGCCTGACTACGCCCACTGAAGGACAAAGGCCTGTACCCTGCTCCACCAGTCTACTCTGTCTTGTGCTTGCTGCTGCCACTTTATACCCACAAACTCCCTAATCTCATCTGCCCACTAGACTTTTATGTCCCCTTCATCCGCTTGCGTTATCTAAGAATCTGCAAAATTAATCTGCACAAAACGAAAGTAATGTTCAACAACCTCGAAGAGAACAGCACTTATGATAGGTATCAGTGCACTTCAAGCAGTAAAAAAGTATGTCTACTTCGAACAGGTAGTAACTGCAGAACCGAACCACGAGATTAAAATAACTTGAAGAATAAGACAGGAGTGGAACACATTCGGCAAGCATTCTCAAATTATTAATGGTAGATTGCCGCTATCCCTCAAGAGGAAGGTATATAATAACAGCTGCGTCTTACCTGTCCTTACCTACGAAATAGAAACCGGGAGGGTTACAAAGAGGGTACAACTTAAGTTGAGGACGAATGCAGCGAGCAACGAAAGGAAAATGATAGGTGTAAACCTTAGGAACAAAAAGAGAGCAGAGTGTATCGGGGAACAAATGGGTGTTCAGAACATCACAGTCGAAATCAAGAAGAAATGTCATTGGGAAGGGCATGCAGTGCCAAAGCAAGATAATTGCTGGTAATTAAGGATCACAGACACCTACTCGTGCTGATGAGTCTTACCTACGTTCACACTCATGCCTATTATACTAAATGAGTGCTCACTTACGGTTACTCAAACTGATAACCACTCGCTCATGTGCATGCTCAGCCTACTTACACTCTTGGACACTCACTCACTTTCATACTCGGTCGTACTCACTCGTGGGCACTCACTCCGGTCATGGCGGCTGCATTTTCGATGGAGGTGAAAATGCTTGAGGCCCGTGTGCTTAGGTTTGGGCGCACGTTAAAGAACTCCGGGTTGTCTAAATTTCTGGAGTCTTCCGCTACAGCATTTCTCATAACCATATGACGGTTTTCGGACAGTAAACTCCAGAATTATTATAGGCACTCACTAGCATACTCACACCTCGTGCCCATTGCTACTCGCATGCGTACTTAGGCCCACGAACGACCATAAGTTCTCACTCAGGTTCACCCTCGCCTACTCATGCCCATGGGTACTCATTCCAGTTTATACTCACAGCCACTCACTCTCATAAATGTCTTCTGATGTATCGTCACACCTACTCGGCCTCACGAATAGTCGTCCGCGTTTATACGCACGTGCACTCACATACCTACTAGCCTATATACAGCTTTTTGGATAGAAAATTTTGATTTTTCTATCGGTATACCATGGCGAAAAACATCATTCGGGGGAGGGGGGGCATGGTTCGTTACGCTTTTATCACTGCGTGTTGCGCAAATACGGTACGCAAATACAGCATGGGGCTGTGATAGCACTCCTCCTCTCCAGCTCGTTGTGCTTGAAGTGCGTTCTGGAATAGGTTTGAGCGCAAAAAAATGACATACACAAAGACAAAATAACTGTACAAGTGGTCATGTAGTATTTTATAAAAATATTATCAAAACGAAGTGTGAGAAACGAAAAAAAGACCCAGACCAGAGAGCGAGGTTACATTTAAGGTCAACGTAATAACTGAGCGAGCCAGCGCCCGTGGCTCTCACTAGTGCCCACCCCTTCTTCCTTCTTTATTTGTAACACCCTACCGTGGCCGGGAAATTTGTCCACGTTTTAAGAAACCTGTGAGTGAGTTTGCCAGGCGATGTTACACTGTGACGGAAGGGCCTTTGCAACGACGTAGCTTGGGGAGGCGGCGGCTGGTCCTGCGGAGGCAGTAGTCCAATCTTGCTTTGGTGTCCAGAGGATGTGGTTACTTTGTTTGCCATCTTCAGATCATACTGAGAGCTTTTGCACTTCTCGCGTCACTTGTAGTAGGACGAGTCTGATCTTGGCCTGCTTTCGTAGACTGACAAGGTTTCCCTATAGTTTGCGCACTCCTTGGGACTGATATTCGTCAGGTGTTGCTGGTGTTGGATGTCACTCTTTTGTAGGTGCTGTGCGGTCTTTGCTGCTTGTCCCCTTTGGGAGTCGGGTAGTGTTTCCAAGCTGGATGAAAACTTCAGAAGTCGCAATAGATTCTTCTTCCTCGCTTGACGAGGACAACGATGAAGCCCATGCATTCTAGGTTCTGTCGGGTGGCGACCTTGTCAAAGACAGGAATGTCGGCCGCTTTCGAGGGCTGCAGAGGTTCGTCCACGTGTGCTGTGGCTGGTACCACATTGGCAGTGTCCATCGCGGCATTGCGGAAGACGGCGTATGTGGAGTTGACGTCTTTATGTGCGTTATTTTAAGTCGTGGCCACACATTTGAAGACATCACTGCATGAGTCTCCCGAAAAAATGTCGATCACAGCGTGTCCGCTTAACAACAGTCTTCGTTTGCACCGATTTCCTGCATGATGAACATGGTGCAGTGTTGGGCTGTGTAGTGTTTCCATGGTACATCCAGCACAGGTCTCTGATGTCTGGTGCCATCTTCTCCTGATGTTCGGTGGTGTCGTAGACGGTCATGGGGTGCATGTACTCAGTTGAGTGAAGCTCGTAGCAGCGCTGCTGCTCGCATTCCCTATCGTCGACTTGCTTGGGGGGAGACGAACTGGAGACCTTACCGCCAGGATCAGGCCTTAAGAGCATGTTGGACGAGAAGTTGGGCTCCGCGTGTTATTGTTCACGAGGGAAGTCCTGGAGGTACATGGTGCCGTGTGACGGATATTCGTCTTCTGGTTCTGGAAACTATGACTGCTTTGCTGGTTCTGCAAAATATGACAGTTTTGGTAAGCAGCCGCTCAGTCCATGGTAAACTGGGTCCTTGTGGTCGATGCGCAAAAGGCACCCAAGATTTCCCTCGGCCATCGAACTACTTACGGCGTACCCTGCCGAAAAGTGCTTGCACCAAAGCATCGTGGGTCGCATGGAAAGCGACAGGTCTTTTGGCGTGTACCCAAAGCTCGTTGGAGTTGCTGTTGGCGTCAAAGTCTGGACGCCTGTCGAAGACCAAGTTGTGGCCCGCTGCGACGTCAAAACGAGAGAAATCGAGAGGCTGGTTGAAGGGGAAGTTGCGGCCTGCTCCGACGTCGAAGTGAGAGGAGTCGAGAGGCCGGTCGAAGGTGAAGTTGCAGCCTGCTGCGATATCCAAGGGAGATGAGTGAACAGGCCAGACGAAAACGAACTTGCTGCCTGCTTAGATGTCGAGGCATGAGGGGTCGAAAAGCTGACCAAAGGCGATGTCGCGGCAGGCTGCGATGTGGATTTGAGAGGCCTGTTCTATAGAGTGCTTGAGACAGCAGCTTATACTTGTGGAGTTGGCGGCCACCATGAAATTTTGTACAATAATACCTAGAGCAGAATCTGGCGCTGCGATTGTGTAACCCGATGGGAATTATGGGAAGTACAGGCTTCAGATTGGATAGGGTTAGCTAGCGAACTATCTATACTTTTTTCTAGTTTCAGTTTTGTTCTTCACGCAGCGTTGGTAGTGGGGTGCAATTCAAAGCACAAAAGCAGCGTTTTTGTTGTTCAAAGAGGCTGAAGACCATTATGGTCTGAGATTTGCTCCGGCTTAGAGCTTTAAAAGTCGTATTTGACAGTTTAAGTGAACCATCATTCACTCACGTTCGCGTATAGATGTAGCGTCTCGTGCCAATGCAGAATATTACATTGAGTTTACGTTTTTTCATAGGTGCATCTTGCTAAAACTCATTTAAATTGACTGGAAGCTTAGTAGACGCACCTTCACGCTCCTCTGACTCGACGACACAACAAAACCACTCGGACAGACGTACTTTGCATCGCAGAAAAAGTGTTTTGTTTCTCACTTAATACTGTACTGTTATTCTCGTAAATAGATAATGCGTACTTACGAGAGCAGAACAAAAATGTTATGAAGAATATTTCATTATACCTTGATGCCAAATCTGGAGTGCAGTGACAGAGGAACGCATACCCTGGTGGTTATATTTGTCCAAATTTCACTTCTACTGCATAGTCAATGTAATTTTTCGCAATAAATCTTATGTACAAAAAATGAAACAAGTTTAATTTAAATGTAACTTCATATCACCTTGTTTTACATTCTGCTAACTAGCATCACGAATCTCAAGAACGTGATCCATTCGAACCAGATCCAAAGCCTGTACTTCCTATAATTCCCTTGAGGGTACTAGCGCCTTTTAAAGAGTCGGCGTAGACACTTGCACCAGATTCCGCTCTAGGTATTATTGTATGAAACTCTATGGCGGCTACGGCTCGGTTGTGCGGCGAGTTCTCCCTTGAGCGCAAGCAACTTGGTCCTCAAACATGCTGGCTGTATCAGGTTCGCTTCTAAGTCCTCATTGTGAAGGTAAGCCTGGATCTCTCTGTTGAAATTCATTAGGTGGGCATTTTTCGTGACAATAATTGCACAGAGCTCCTGGAGCCTTAAAGCAGGGGTCGTTGAGTCTTGAGTTGGCCAGAAGGGTGTCGAGTATCGACATTGCTTTGATAATGACAGTTCGGTAGAAACCAAACTCTTCGGAGTTGGTCCATTGTCAAAAGTCGAGGGCCAGACGACCGGGTGGGTTTCGGCACCAAAACGAAGTGTGAGAAATGAAGGAGACCTGGACTTGAGCACCTGGCTACATCAAAGGTCAACGGAACAACTGAGCGCGCAAGCGCCCGTGGCTCTCGCTTGTGCCCGCCGCCTCTGCTTCCTCCTTTGTTTGCAACAGCTACCCCCATTGACAGGTGCATCGACAGGCTTACAGGCAATGACAAGACGGGACCCCTTCCACAGTAAAGATTTTACAGCCCTTTGTGGTGTTTGGGTGCTTTTACTGGAGTCAGGAACGGTGAAATCACAAAGAGCGAGAGAGGAGGAGTGGTATCGTAGTCCAGTACGGTATTTGCATTCTGTATATCTATAACCTGCTAAAACTTTCTGGAACTGAGTACTATCAAATAAGCAGTGCACTCTGAGAGACAGAGAGGAGGTGCCGCTGCCAGTGACTGCTGCGCCAATACAGGCGCCGACGCAATGGTGCACCGTGGCACCAGGAGACACAGCGCACACGAAAGGCGCAGCACCAGAATTCCAGCCGCTTGATGTTTGGCGTATCCGACATCGTTTTCTACACGATAGCCGATCAGAATGCTTGCACGAGTGACAGTTACCTTTTGAAGAAAAGTCAAATATCATTTTCTGATAGCTAGTTCTCTTTCCTCTTTTCTTTCAACTTGAAACCTCTGTTATCGAAGTAACACTATATCGCAATGAAACTTTCTTGTGTGTGTGTGTGTGTGGCCTTATACCGCTTGTCTAGTCAACTGCCGCTAGATAACAACGTCAGCACCATTAGGGCACTCCAGCACGACAACTCACTGCGTGTGTCGCCGCGTTTCTCTGTGCAGCATACCGACTCACGCTCATGAGTACACATGCACACTCACGACTACTCACATTCACGCTCGCTACTCACGCTCATGTGTACTCATTCACATTCATACTGACGTCTACTTGAACACCCTCATGTGTGCTCACTCACGTTTACATTTACGACTACTTACACTCTGAGTGCTCACTCACTTCCATTCATATTCACGACTACTCATATTAACGAGTGCCCACTCACGTTCCTATTGACGCCTAATCACACTCATGAGTACTCACTCATGTTCATACTCACTTCTACTCACGCTCCGAGTACTCACTCACATTCATACTCCTACTCACACTGATGAGTACTCACTTATATACTCACACTCACCACGTTAAAATGTGTATGTGTTGCAGTGGTTCTCAAATGGGCGAAGCCATTTCTATGACCCGTGAAACCCCAAACGCATTTTTCTTTAAGCGTGACTGTGCGAGGTATTGATGAACTGTCCAAAATGAAGTGATGTGGCACATTTGTTTGACGTTTTTGGTAACAATGAAAGACACCTGTTTCACACTCAATTTGGGTTAATTTACTTACGTACCCCCCCCCTCCCTTCCCTCCTCTACAAGGGGTTTCCCATCACTTCCACCAGTCCACAAAGGGTCCCCGACACATCCATGGCTTATAATCACGGCCTTGTTGCTTCCTGCTCTTTGATGCTCATTCCGAGAGAAAGGCACTGGGGTTTCAGGCTGTGGGAACGCGGCCCAGCTATGCTCCATGGACAGCACGGCGCCAATGGACGAGAGTCACAACACTACCAATTACACAGCCTGTCACACTGCGCAGGACCCTAAAGAGAAAACGAGGAAAATTTGGGGTGAAGTTTATAAGTCTTTTCTCTCATAACAACGAAAATACTGCGCCTACATGGAAAAAGTGTCCAGCGACAAAATAAAGAGCCGGTTCCGCACAGTAAGACATCTCTGCGGAGCCCAAATCTGCAGAAAATGGCCATAAAGTCACGTTTTATCTCCTTTGGCCGATTCGGAGGGCGCACTGGGATTGTAGCTGGCTTTCAACGATAATCTCGAAGAAGGCGACACGCCATTGTCTTGGCTCATGTCTCTATGTAGTTATTATTACTCCAGGATTTTCCCCCCGCTAGGCCCGCAGCTGTATACAGGCTATCACATCGAATGCAATGCACTGAGGGAAGGGTGATGGCGTTTGGGATGGGGCAGCATTCATGCCTGCACGGCCAGAGTCACTCTTTAGGAAACATATACACAAAGAGTGAGTGCATCGCGCACACTCTTTCAGGACGTCGATTCATTTTCATATAAGTGCTTTATTCCATCGCGAGCTCGGAGACAGTGCGTGCTGGTGGCATTATGGTGCAGCATCCGGCCTTTATTAGCGCGCGCTCATAAAGGCCAGATGCTGCAGCGTAAAAAAGGCTCCTCCGACATGCTGATGTCCTCAGCGTGGGTCGGCCCATACCTTGACCCGGCTGTCTTCCACACCTGAGCAGCACAGCAGCAGTAGCTCAGAAGCCATCACACTTGTCCCAGCAGCACAGCAGGGTTGTAGCCAGCCACCTGAAACAGCAGCCGAAGCAGTGGCCCACAGGAGACCAGAACTCGCAGCCACTCTGGACAGCGGCGGGAACCCCGGCACCTTGCCTGGACCCTGGGCCGGTCGCCCAGCCGGATTGCAGGCCTCGACCAACGCTTGCCCAGATGTCGGGGACGGCAGCCGGATCATCAGCGCACCACCTGGTCGCTGGGCCAGTCACCCAGCCGGATTCCAAGAACAGAACAGCATGCCGAGGATGTCCATGAGTTCTCCGGATCGGACGTCCAGCCAAGAACTGCCTCGATCGCTGCTCTGCCTCGAACGCTGGCACGTTCTCTTTCGCCACCAGTGTGCGCTTTCTTCTTTGTCGTCGTCCGTGGGGATCGGACAGTTTCGCTTTCGTTTTCCTACCCTATATCACAAGTTGTATGACTCACTCAGCAGGTGGCACTAGTGTGAGTGACAAACAGACGGACATATGGACGGACAGACAGACGTGCACACGAATGTACGGATGGACGGAAGCACAAACAGACTAACAGAAGCATGGATGGACGCTTCGCCCCACTCATCATCATTCACTCTATGCATATGCTGTAATTTTTTTCCCCCATACATGTTCAAGAGTAAGTTGGAAACTCCCGCTTCTGATATGAATGATTGCTTAATAGATCTTTTGTTTCTAATTTTTATGTGAGGATGTTTACCGTCATCAATTGTAGAAATTGATTGGAAATAACTGTTTAATGCATTTGCAGAATGGGCATTTTCCTCTAGGTGTTTTTTGAGTCATTTTACAGAGATTGGGATTCATGTATTGCTAAAATATAATTGAGAAACTCTTTATGAATGGAGGTAAAGTTTTGTCAAAATAAATAGACTTGGATGCCTCTATTTTATTTTTGTATTTTGTCGGCTATAATTGTTTGGCTTCTCTTGAATTTTTTTTTTCTCAAGCGCTTCACCTTTTTTTTACATGTATAACGTCACATTTTATCCACAGTATAATGTTTCTAGTCTTCTACCTTTTTAATGGAATGTGATTTTGCAAGCAATTAGGAGCAGTTTTATTGAATTTCTGCCACAACACTTCTATTGTCACAGTGGAGTTGGAGGCTTATTCCTGAAATGGTGCGAATTCGTCGAACGGTAAGTCGTGTATTGATACGTGATCAGCTTTACTAAGGTCTGGAAATGTTTCCTCTGCATAAGCAGGTGTTATTCTGCCATATATAGGTATTGTACAATAAGTTATCTTATGGTATGATATTGCATCTAGTAATTCTATCTTGGCTTCATGTATTGCGACGTTATCACTGACAAAGGTTAAATCTAGCACACTCGAGCTGTGTCCCCGTACACGTGTAGGCTGCATCGCTATTTATCAAAAGTTTAAGGAAAGAATTAAATCAGAAATGATTTATTAGAAGGCACTGTGGTACTGCATTGTTTCCCAATTGAAGTCTCACAGATTAAAGTCGCCCACCAAGATGGCTCTAGGACTTGATGCGTTAAGCCGTATATATGTGCACAGTGCATCTATACACTCATGGCTTGTTGAAGGGGCGCGGTAATACACACCCAAAAATGATAACGTGGGTTGGGAATTTTAATTTGAAAATACTGCCTCTACACCATCTACAACTGGCAGTCATGTGAAAAGGATTCTATTGCTTATAAAGATAGCCACACCGCCACCTCATGGTATAGCCTTGCGTATCATTACATAGTTTGGGGGTGTTAGTTCAGCGTCTTCTGTATCACTTGTTAGCCAAATTCCAGTAATGGCCACAAAATCGGGTTTGAGGCAGATAAGCAACAATTCTAAAGCATCTAACTTGATCATTATACTGCACGCATTCACGTTTGCAAAAGTTATTTCATGTGATGGGTTGGTTGACGATGCCTTAGCTCTCGAGGTTTGGGATGAACGTTTTCGTTTTGTTTTCTTATGGTACCTGTACTTGTGGTCAAGGGCATTGATTGATAATTCATCTGCTTTCATGGCTGATATAAGGATACTGCTTGGTGATACAAGAACATAGGGGAATGAGCATTTGAGATGCGTCAAGTGGTTTTACGACTTGACAGTTTTCTATCACTGTTGGATTTCGGGTTCCACATATAAACGTCTTCATTAACAAACAGCTTATTGAAAACGAGACGAATAGCGTCACTGTCCTTTTTTGAATTCTTCGAAAATTCCAGTAATTTGCATCTTTGGTCACGCACAGTCTCAGAGTAGTCTTGTGCTATTAGTGTTGTGTTTTTCAATTTGAAGCCCTTGCTCAATATCGACTCAATTTTTTTTGCAATTAAAAATTAGCAATGATTGGACGCTTTTTATCCTGTGAAAAACGGCCCAGACGGTTGGCCCTAGAAATAGAGGGAACAAACATGCCAAAATTATTTGAACAAAGCTCCTTTACAATTCTCTCAGAAGCTTCCCACGACTCGGAACCATCAGTATCGGCGACTCCATAAAAAAGTAAGTTAGGACCGGCGTGAGTGGTTTTCCAAGTCTTCTATTCGGTTTTGGATTCTCTAAAGCTCCTTCCCATTATCGAGGCGAACCCCGAAATTTCTCTTTGTGACCAGTGACTTTAATTCACCAATGATTACTTGCATCTTCGAAATGTTTTCTACATTCATGGAACAGTGCTGTGTCAAAATTGATTGCAGTTTGCTTTCGAGCTTGCCTACTCTTTTTGTCAGAGATTCGAAATCTTTTTTAAGGAGCATGTAAAAGCAAAACCTAGTTGACAGATTCGAGAAGACTCGCATGATACAATACATTGCATGCATGCTATCAAAAGCTGAGTTAAGCTTCCCTTTCAGAGTTTCAGTCATAGGACCAGGATTTGGTTCTATGTCACGTCCTAGGAGCAGGAGGCGTCGAAGATACAATGCACACTCACTTGCGGCTTCAGGGCACGGAAGCCCGACAATGAAAGTATCATATGATTGAAAGCTGCTAGAAGGTAATTTCGAAAGGTAACTAACCTGCAGAGCGAAAAGACGGATGCGTAAGCATTTCCTTGTTTCCACCATCCTGCCTCCATGCCCAAAGAAGAGGTATTGCTTGATACTTGGTAATATCTCGTGTCTAAGGCTGATGACCTCATTGCTGCGGCTGCGCATTGGTAATATTCCAGGGGGCGTTTCGTGCGCTCGGACAGGTTCACGGAAGCAGGGGCAGCTTCGCAAATTCCTCCCTAGAGCGGAAAGTCGTTTGGAAAGCCTGACACCCATGCACTGGCCACGATGATGGCGAACTGCAGAGCAAAAAGGCGGATGCATAAGCTTTTCGTTGTTTCCACTATCGCGCCTCCGTGCCCATTGGATTCTCGAAGTATGAGGTGTGCTGCGAAGCACTGTCGGAGATGAAGAAGAAGACAGCAAAGAGGAGGACTATGCTGGCTGACATCCGTGTGGACTTGGCCTTGCCTTGTTTGTCTGGCGTTAGGTGTTTATGATTACCTTGTAAATGTACACTGCGACACCTTTGCTCTTCGTGACATTTTGGTGGAGAATGCGGGTTTTCCCATTTTTAACCTTCACAACGATTCGTCATAGCGGATGCTCCTTTGCTGCTCCTGCTATGTCTACTCAAATGGAATACGAAGAGACGTCTCCAACTGTGCCTCGGCCAGTCAGGCCTGCCACGCCGCAACAAACCGCCGATGTAAACTGTCGTCCTGACTCAACCACGTGACCCAGGCACCTTTTCTGGCACTGACAACAAAGATGTCAAGGATTTGCTTCTGCTCTACGAACGGGTGAGCGCTCTGTACAACTGGGACCTGATGCTCATACTGGCCAATCTCCTCTTTTACCTTGAGGGAACGACCAAAGTTTGGTTTTGCAACCACGAGCAAGAGATAACGAGCTGGGAAATTTGCAAGCACATACTCATTGATCTATTCAGCAAGCGAATTTGGCGACGTCGAGCTTCACAGAAGGAACTCGCGTGCCGACTCCAGACCTGTACAGTCGTACTTGACATACATTTGAAATGTGCTCGCGCTCTGCCGCAAGGTTGGCGACATGATGCCGGAACCTGAAAATGTCGCACACATCCTAAAAGGGATCGCAGATGATGCTTTTACTCTCCTGGTATTCAGAAACTTGACAACAATTGACGGCGTAATTAGCGAATATTGGCGCCATGAAGCAGTGAAAATTAGTTGCATTGCTCCTCATTTTTCACGCCAACACAACGGCGACGTCTACTTGCGGGGACATCTATCTGCTACCTGCTCCTGCTGCAGGCGAGAACATTGTACGCCTCATCCGCCGCGAAATTGAAGCTGCAGCTTCAGTGCTCATGCACGATTGTGGCCACGACGATTCCCACACGAATTTCTTTAATACAGACCTTTGTACGCCAGGAGCTCGCCAACGCAGGACTCGAGACGCTCTGCCTAGTGAATAGACGAGACTGCCGTCCACATTGTCCTCCTGATCTGCCCCGAAACTTGTACGCTTGCCTCGGTACTGGAACCCGGCGGAGTTGCAAACCCCTGACGACAGTTCTATTCGTTTTTGTTGTGGTAGCATCGGCTGTATTTCCCACCGCTGTCATAGTACCTAGAATTTACAACCCTGGTTCAACTATTCCAACAATCGGCGTTCTCCTGTTAGTTCGAGACTGCCCACCCGCAAAGATGACGTTGCTACATCATCGAAGCCTCCACGACTATACCGCTCTCCTTCGCCGTAGAGTCTTCCTTCTCCTTCCCCATCCTCCTCCCGCTTCTCCTCGGAAAACTAACGGGCGCAGCTCTTGGAGGTGAGCCTGCCGTGATGACTCGACCCGAAATTTCTCTGCTTACACAACAACCTGATCGATGTAGATGTCGACAGCGCCCCTGTCATAGCGCTCGTCAACACCAGCGCTCACATGTCAACTATGAGCTCGAACCTCCGTGCTCACCAACGGAAGGTTTTCACTCCATCCAGCTCCGCTCGCTGTACTCGCGTAGCCGATGGTGCAACTGCAGTTGTCACTGATATGTGTAATGCTCGGGTCACTGTTGCCGGACGCTATATTTGGCCGCATGAACTCATTTTAGTACTTTATTTTTTATCCTCCCATTCAGCTCTCATTGACTGTGCTACAGGTGTCGTCGAACTCGCCCTCCCATTTGCCTTTGAGCTAGTGATCCTAAACTGAGCATGCTACGTTCTGCCGATTACGTTCGCGTACCCTCTCTAGCTGTTATGTATATTGCGGTCTTTTTGATCTACCCATGCCTGACGGTGATTATGTCATGCCATGCAACACTGCTGTCTTCTGCTCGCAAAACGTCACGTTCCCGCATACATGCATCAGTATAAAGGACAATATCGCATGTTTCCCTCCTGACAATTTCGGGCTATGCTCACAAGGTCTGCCCCAGGGTGTCTCCCTTGCGTCCCTTTCTCCGGCCTGCGACTACCATATTTTCGCATTAACAGGGGATAAGCCATCACCCACAAGTCCTGATTTGGGCCAAACTACTTTCGACACCATGACGAAAATGATCGCATTAGACTTCCCGGCTAAATTTGTGCACACTCTTCATAACCTTCTTGCTTCATATCAAGACATATATGACCTTAATGACCGACCACTGGGCCAGACAATCATTGGGAAGCATCGGATCAACACCGGCAATGCTAACCCAATACAGCGACATCCCTATAGTGTTTCTTCTACTGAGTGTCAAATCATACAAAGAGAAGTTGACAAGATGCTTGCCCAGAACATCATTGAATCATCTTTAAGCCCTTGGGCTTCCCCTGTCGTGCTCGTCAAAAAGGACAACAGCCGGCGCTTTTGTGTCAATTATCGAAACCTCAACAAGGTAACAAAAAAAATATGTGTACCCCCTACCACGTATAGATGACGCCCTTGACTCTCTCAGAGGTGCGAAGTATTTCTCTTCGATAGACCTTCATTCGGGGTACTGGCAGATTTCAGTTGATGACATGAACCATGAAAAGACGGCATTTATTACACCGATGACCTTTAGCAGTTTAAAGTGATGCCATTCAGGTTATGCAATGCCCCTGCTACATTTGAACGAATGATGGATGCTCTACTGCATGGTTTCAAGTGGTCAATATCCTTATGTACAATATGTCAATATTGGTCAATATGTAACGTACAAATTAACCAGTATAAACAACAAACTTCTCGAGTGCGTTCTAAGCTCTCGAAAAAACTCCCTCGTCACAGGTGCACGGTGCAGTCGGAGTGTCTGAACGCATCCGCTGGCACCGACTAGCAGAGCTTGTTGCGGTGGCTGTCACTGGACACACAGCATAGCACTAACTTGCAGTTCATTGCGCCTTAGAATCTACCACGTTCGGACACGACCACCGTAAGTCTCACGTGTCTTTTTCTTTCTTTTTTTATCCTATGTGAATCACAGAATGATAAACACTGTTGTTGCTTCCTTCCTTTCCAGGTGAAGATGGCCATCAACCTATTGCCCCAGCAGCACGGTGGCACCCACTACGAGTGGTTGTTTGGACACAGCACTCCAATTCAGGCGAGGGCCACGCAGCACGGACTTGCCTGCTCCACACCTGCCATGCCCGACAGGCTGCTGATACCTGCTGGGTCGGGTAAGCACTAATGAGCTAGTTCGATTAAGGAGGTTTAAATAGAATTGGTGGAGTGGAAATTGTGCCTCAAGAGCTACGCTGTGCCCCCCCAAAAGAACAAGTTACAGTCCCACGACGTTGAAGGAAAATGCTTCACTTTTGCCGAACGCCAGGGCATTGTCTTGCCACATAGCTCCCCCACCCTCTCCAACCACAATATGGCAGCCAACCACAAGGCAAAATGCAAGCGCTCATAGAAAATTTCGTGTCTCACAAGTCTTTGATGTTGAATTTACAGTTTGGTTCACATTTAAAGTGAACACCTCGTAGTATTCAAAGCACCATAGTAGCTGACGTTTAATAATATACTTACTATTTTGCTTACGAAGACCATGATTGTGCATCTCATAACGAACATCTTGCTCGCGAATTCAAATAAGTGGTTCAGTTTTACCAGCTTGCAGAGGTGTTCACCTGAGGTGGAGTCGACCCTGTATATGTTGGAAGTCACATACAACTGCATTCAAAGTTTTTTCAAAACGGTTTGCGCGTCCCATTCACCAAGTGTACAGCAAACAAAGCTTACCAGTTCCTGAAGTGCATTTTATTCTCTTTTCAAGCTCGTTATTCGAGCTTGTAATGACAGCCGCCTGTATTGTATCTGCTGCCTGTATGTTAACGTGGATGTAATGCTGTACATCCAGTCCAGCAAAACAAACACTGACTACCTGCACAGACAGTTCACTTTCTACGACTGCTTCATCCATAAAACGTTAATCTATTCAATGTGTGTATATATGTTGAACACATCATTAAACTGCTACAAAAAGAATAAAAAAGTGTGCCACAAGTATAAAATACATTGAACCAAGTTCGACACAGTGAAAACCATAGGACACTGAAGCTGTAAGGAGTGCGAGTGTTATGTGTTGAAGCATCATTATCACTTCATTTCACCCTCTGGTCATGTGGTCTGCGTTAGGACTACACTACTGCTGCTACTATGACAGTGCAGGGTAGAATTCGACAGCTTCGCAGTAAAATTCTCTACTTTGAATAAATATGGTAGCGCTCATTTCGATTCCTGGTCCCAGACAAAATCTCGAAGGCTGTGACTGAACAAGTTAGTGCATCATGGGAAAGCGAAACCAATTAAGTTTCATGACCGAGTCGCTTAATTTTATTGTCAAGCTGACAGGCATCGCAAGCCAACAGCAGACACTGGAAAGCTGCAGCTGGCACATGAAGGGAAGTCCATCCGTAAAAGAGCTCGCCACAATGGAGGCTGTTACAGTAAAGGGGCATTGTTGTCGTGGGGTTGAGTGTTTCATAAGCCACACACACACACACGCACACACACACACCCACACACGAACTTCGTCACCAGTTGGCCCTGTCGAGACATTCGGCTTCTCTCGGTGCGGCACTCCCGGCTACTCGGCCTGTCCAAACGGCCGTGACTTGTGCGGCGCGTCCTACCGCGGTCCCGCCCGTTTGGCCTGAGACTTGTTCTCACCCCGTACTGCCATCGCACTGGTCTGAAATCGCTGACCAACACACAACGCACACCACCAGGCGAGAGCATGAACATATGTTTCTAACCCCACTCATTCCGTCTACCAGTCCTGCCAATGAGGTCACGAAGATTATTAAGTCAAACATTGACCCCATTAGGGCGAACTGACTATCAGAAAGACACGTCATGGATTAACAATATTAACAAACGACCATAACGCTATTACTAGGTTAAAGAATACACTTGAAAAGAACGCAATCACAAACATGTCATTGTCAGTCCGATTGCCCCAAAAGCGAAAACCTCGCGTCAAACTCACTGGTGTAGACTCCGATATTCAAGCCGCCAACATCATCTCACAGCTAAACATGCGCAATCCGAACCTACATTTAGACCCGACCACATGCCGAGTGGCGGTATCGTACAAGGAGCGATCGGGCCACTTCACACATGTGCTCGAAGTGGATCCTTCCACCTGTCGCTCACTGCTTGCTCAGGAACGAGTTCTTCTCGGTTGGACAGCATGTAGTGTGAGTGAGGACTTTCATGTGCCATTGTGCACATATTGTGCAACGTACGGCCATACAAGAAAGTCCTGTCCTGTCGCCAACGAACCTGACAAAGTGATGTGTACGAAGTGCACCGGTACACATCTTGGCGAAGCATGCACTCTTAGGATGAACGATCCAGGAATTGTTTGCAACGAATGCCAAAAGGTCGCAAGACCTAGTTCTCATCCAACTGGACACGAAATGTGTCCTAGATTACGAGAACGTGTCGCCCGCATGAGGGCCAGAACAGACTATGGATAATCTAGGAGGCGTGTACATCAAAGAAGGACGCAGCGGCCTCTATAACGTGCAGTGTTATTTACGGTTTGCTGCATTAGTGCCCGCATCCTTTTCGACTCATTTATATGGACCACATGGAGGTCGCTGCTTTTGCCGCTATTCTTTTAATTATGGCATATTCATACACGAAATTACACCATATGACACACACTTACAAGTAACTACACATCCACAAAATTACACAATATTTCTTTCCTCAAGATATTGCTGGTTGCGCGGGTCACACTGCAATACATGAAAAAGGCTCCTTACAGCTTTTCGCAATTTTGTTTTAGGAAAGGCGTTGCGCTTGTTATTTAAAATTGATCAGAACTATCATGACTCACAGCAATAACTTAAAATTTTTACAGGCTAATCTAGACCATACACGTGATGCCACAAAATTATTGATAGAACACATGATGCAACAACACTTCAATTTCGCCTTCGTGTGTGACCCGCACATCCACGCAGGCACTGTTCAAGGCATACCACACACCATAACAAAGTTCCACGCACCAAACGATCCTCGCGTCATGCTTCTAGTACACAACACTAATTTTGACTTCTTCCCATTACACGTAACAGATTTGGTTGTTGCAGTAAAGTGTGAAAGCCTTGACCAAACATTAATACTGATAGCTGTGTATGCACCGCCGCAAAGACCTATTGACCCAGTTCTGGACGAGTTGCAATGTGTGGTTTCATTGAGTACAGATTGTACTGTCATCATAGCCGGAGATTTCAATATTAAGCATAGCATGTGGGGGCCAGCTATAGGGGATGTTCGAGGCTCTCAAGTAGTCCAATTCATGACGGCGAATGACTTAGTCATATTGAACAACCCCAACTCCCCTCCAACTTTCACAACTCCGTATGCAGATTCATGAATAGATTTAACCATGGTTTCGCATGACCTTACTTGCGATGCTTACCATTGGAAGGTTCTCCAAATTCCTACCCTCTCGGACCACAACTACATTGAATTCTCGTTCCCGCAAGCGCATACCAGCAGTGCTAAACGATTAACTAATCTAGGAAGAGCGAAAATTCTTAACAAGTTAAAGGACGACACTTGGTTCACAAATATACTCGGCTGCAACATTGGGTCACCTGAAGCCCTAAACATGTTTATAGACAAGTTTTATGCCATATACTCCGCTTTAAGCCAACATTACTCATGACGCATAACATCGCGTAGTAAATTAGGTAATGGTTGGTGGACACCAGAATTGACTATTGAACGTAAGCGTGTTCGGGCTATGCGACGACGATACCAGCGAACAGCTGACCCCGTCCTTCGCGACATGTATCGCAAATTGTACGTTGATGCATTCTCAATCTACAAGGACAAAATCAAGAAAGCAAAATCATCGTCTGATAAACACATTTGTGACTTTCTCACTAAGAAATGTTTGTATGGTGATGTTTTCAAAACCGCATTTCAAAAACACCACCAAGTAACTTTTCTTCCTCCTCTAGATTTACCTAACGGCACTCGCACAGCTTCTGTAATTGAGTCCGCCCGGCTACTACTCGATACATTGGTAGTAGTGGACAGCTGTTCTGAAGACAACATGCACCACACTATCATGCGTAACATTGCGGCTAGTCCTTACCCGTGGCATACTTCTGACCCTCCTTTTACAATATCTGAGATAGAGTGCGCGATGATACAGAGTAATTCACACTCTGCTCCTGGACACGATGGATTAACCTACTCGTCAATTAAAGGATTATTTTAATACCATCCTCAATTTTTCTATTTTACTTTCAATACCGCCTTAAGAATCGGACACTTCCCACAGGCTTGGAGAAGAGGGAAAGTAATATTCATACCAAAGCCAGGACGTCCGCTCAATTCGCCTAATGCATATAGACCAATAGTTATGAACGCTGTATTCAGTAAAGTATTAGAAAGACTCTTAAATGCTCGTCTGTATTATTTCCTGCACAATAATAATCTTCTTCACAATAATCGATACGGTTTTACGCACAATAAAAGTGCTACTTTAGCACTGTACACACTGCGAAGCAAATTGGCTGCATACAAGGCAGCCAAACTTCCTACCATACTCATATCTCTTGATTTTGTAGGAGTATTCGATAGTGTTTGGCATCCTGCAGTCTTGAACTTTTTACGCAAGCACAGGTGTCCACAAAACTTGTACTTTCTACTCAAATCCTTTTTATCGAACCGCACTGTAACTTTTTCAACCAACGTCGCAGAAGAGACAGTTCGTAGAACAATTGGCAGCCCGCAAGGATCCTCTATCAGTCCGCTACTGTGGAACATAGTAATATACAGCTTACTCAATCTTCCCGTGCCACCCGACGTACACGTACAGGCGTACGCGGACGATACCATCATTGTTATCACAGATAAGTCAAGACTCCGATTACAAGCAAAGCCTGAGCATGTCCTGGCTTTGGTATCTGGTTGGGCATGAGAACAAAAAGTTACCGTAAGCGCCGAGAAGTCGTTCTTCGTGTTCTTTAATAACGGACACATGGGTACATCAAAACGCTGCCCATCTATCCATATGGATGGCATTTTTCTCAAACACAAGAAAGAAATTAAGATTCTAGGCGTATTATTTGACCCCTCTTTCAATTTTCATGCCCACATTGACTACATTAAAGGAAAGGCTGAAGTGTCCACGTACCGGCTCCTCGCATTTGTTAA